CCCTCCCTTTTGAATCACCTACTACTGATGAGGCACAGTCATTGTTAGCAGTTGTATACTCAACAGTGAGGTCACCAGGCTCCAATGAATAGTTCCAAACCAGTGATACCACAGATCAGCCTGATTAAAATCAGTGGATCACAAAAGAAAATGACATAAAATGTGGGAAAGGGACAGTAGGGAATCTTGACAAAAAGTGGGAAGGAATGAGAGAGTGTGGGGATGAAGGTCAACAGAATGTCACTCATGTATAAAACTGCCAAAGAATGAGTTAAACACATACAGTTTTTATTTTATTTTTTTTAAACTTTTTTTTAAAGATTTATTTATTTTATTATATATGAATACACTGTAGCTGTCTTCAGACACACCAGAAGAGGGCATCAGATCTCATTACAGATGGTTGTGAGCCACCATGTGGTTGCTGGGATTTGAACGCAGGACCTCTGGAAGTGCAGTCAGTGCTCTTAACCACTGAGCCATCTCTCCAGCCCGACACATACAGTTTTTAAAGAGAAGAAAACTGATTGTATTAATGGAGAAATATTGAGACACTAGCCACAAAAGCGTAGTCAAGGGTGTTCACACTATTGGAATCACAAGAGCCTGGAATGGGAAGAACACAAGCTTAAGGTCAACAGACAGGACAGACAGTCCCTTTACAAGGAACTGCATGCCCCTTGTCTATAGCTCCCAATTCTGGGGCCCTTCCTTGCATTGATATCAAAGTGAGAAATGGATGCAATTCGAGGATAGAATAGAAAATATCTTAATGTTTGGGAAGGAGTTTTTAAACATTTAAGTTAGTATGTAACAAATAGCTCATTATGGAATTTTCATACATAAACATCATTATACTATTAAACTTTGTTCCAACTCCCCTCTCCTTATCCCCTGCCTCCCAGCCCTATCTCCCCATCTGACTAACCCTTTTCTCTCACATAGTCCCCCATTCTGCTTTCGTGCCAGAGGACTCCATTACCTTCTATCTCTCCCTCTGGCCTCTTTCTTTTAAGAATTCCTCCATGACTTTAATCTTAGTACTCAGGAGGCAGAGGCAGGTGGATCTCTGTGAGTTCAAATCTAGCAAATTCTAGGACATCCAGGGCTATAAAGAGGAACCTTGTCTCACAAAAACAAAAACGAACATCTGCCCCTCCTGTGATGCTTTTTGTAGTTTCATCACACACACACACACACACACACACACACACACACACACACACGGGATTTCCACATATGAGGGAAAAAAATCAGTATTTTTTTTCTGAAATCTTGTTTATAGTACTTAACATAATTATCTCTAGTTTCGGCCATTTTCTTTAAAATGGCATGATTTCCTTTTTGTTTATAGCAGAATAAAATTTCTTCTTGTGTGTATACCTTGTTTTCTAGATATCTTCCTCTTGGTAGACACACAGACTGTCTTCATTTCCTGGCTATTGTAAGCAGTGTATCAATAGGCGTAGATGTCCAGGGATCTCAGGGGTCTGTTGACTTTGACTATATAACCTGGCATGGCACAACCGAGTTACATGGTAATCCCATTTTTATTTAAATCCTTCATTTTGTTTCCACACAGGCTGCACAAGGTTACATTCCACCAGCAGTGTGTCCTCACCATTGTTGACATTTGTTCTCTTATTGATAGCTTTTCTGACAGTGAGGAGACAGAATGTCAGAATCTGCATTTCCCCAATGACTAAATACAGTGGACAAATTTCACATATTGTTGGCTGATTGTCTTATTTTACTTGCTTGCTTGGTCTGTTCAGTTCATTCTTAGTTGGATGTTTTGGAGATTTGTTGTTTAATTTTTCCTTCTCTTTACATATTGGAGATATTAGTCACCTGTCTGTTGTATCATTGGCAAAGATTTTTCTCTTTACTCTGGTGATCCTTTCTCTTGCTGAAGCAAAGCTTTTTTATATCTCAAGCAATACTGATTGTTAATTCTTGCCATTCTTTTGTGTGCGGTTGGTGTCCTGTTCCAAACCGCTTGTCTGTGCTGTTTTCTTCTAGCAGCTCCACAGTTTTGGGTGTTGCAGTAAGACTTTGATCCCTGTGGAGTTGATTATGATTTGTATAAATCTAGTTCATTCTTCTGCATGAAATTTGGTTTTCCCAGCACCATTTTTAAAATATTTTTTCCAATATCTATTTTTTGATAGCTTGGTCAAAATTAGGTGACTATAACTATGAGTTTTATTTCCGGTCCTCCATTCTTGTCCACATGCCTGTTTCTGTGCTGGCATCACAGTTTTTGTTACTATAGCCCTACAATGTCATTTGAGATCAGGTATCATGAAGGTTCTTTATCGCCGGGCGGTGGTGGCACACACCTTTAATCCCAGCACTTGGGAGGCAGAGGCAGGCCGATTTCTGAGTTTGAGGCCAGCCTGGTCTACAGAGTGAGTTCCAGGACAGCCAGGACTACACAGAGAAACCCTGTCTCGAAAAACCGAAAAAGAAAAAAGAAAAAGAAGGTTCTTTCTCTTTCTGCTGAAGATTACTTAAACTGAATTGTAGGATTGTTTTTTTCTAGATTAGTGAACATTATCATTGGAATTTTGATAGGGATTGTATTAAACTTGTAGATTGCTCTTGATATTCTAGCCATTTCCACACTGATAATAATTCTGCCAGTCCATGAACATGGGAAATCTTTTGGAGGTTTGGTCTGGTCTGGTCTGGTTGTATATGTGTGCATGCACATACATGCATATGGGTGCTCTCGGAGGCCAGGGCCTTGGAGCCTGTAGAGCTAGAGTTACAGAAGCTGTTGAGCCTCCCCAAGTGGGTTCAGGAAATAAATCTCAGCTCTTCTGGAAGAGCAATCTATGCTCTTAACCCCTGACCTCTCTCTCTCTTCCAACTCCTTTTTTTTTTGTTTTTGTTTTTGTTTTTGTTTTTGTTTTTGTTTTTGTTTTTTTGAGACAGGGTTTCTCTGTGTAGCCCTGGCTGTTCTGGAACTCACTCGGTAGACCAGGCTGGCCTCGAACTCAGAAACCCACCTGCCTCTGCCTCCCAAGTGCTGGGATTAAAGGCATGCGCCACCACTGCCCGGCCTCTCCCAACTCTTTAAGAAGGATTTTACAAAGAATGTGGGCAAAGCCAAGCATGACAGCATTCATCTATAGATCTCACTACTCAGGACTCTAAGGTAGAAGGATCAGTTGAGCCCTGGAGTTCACAGCCTACTGGAAAAACATAAGACACACATGGGTAGACCCTGTCTGGGAAACAGAGAGGATGAGGAAGAAAGCAAGTTTGTTAGGAAAGTGGAAAGAGTGTACCTGGAAGGATGGATGTTATCAAAGTATGTTACGTACATGTATGCAAACACCACATTAAAGCTCATTATTTTGTACAATGAATATACACTGGGAAAACTTTGAAAACGGATCATAAATATAAAGAGGAAGAGGAGATTTGGGACAGAAGGAGAGTGTTTACTAAACTTGAAAATAATTAGCAGTTATATAGACTGTTATATAGACTGTAGGAGATTGGAGAACAGCCTGGCTTGAGCACCTTCCCGACCAGGCATACTCGTCCTCTATTGCCCTGTCTACCCAGTGCTGCCCCTCATTTACCATCCTGTAAATCAGGGTAACCAGATTGCGTATCACTCTAGTTACTTTCTGGTTGTGCAGTTAAGACTCCACGAACAACTTAATTGTGGCCAGTGAAAACCTGTTAAGGCTTGGTTACACTAGGGCACTGACTCATAAAATCCTCACATTTGAATCAAAATGATGATAATGTTATGCTAAGTGAGATTTTTCTCTTTAAAAAAAATCAGGATTAATATTGTCACTGACTTGAGAAATGTGCATTAAAATGTTGGGTTTTTTTTTAATGAGAGTTTGCAGGAATAACACTGGATCTTGATGAACATATAACAATTTGTAAAAGTGAGACGCGAAGGAGCACACTGACCTCCAGGAAAGACAGTGCAATGGCCTCCCTGATTAGAGCAGATCCTAGCAGAACATTATAAAACCAATTTTGTTGCAGCCCGACACAATAATTGTACAAAAAGCACGTTTAGTAAATGGCTTTCTCCCTTTGATAGAAGTATGTGCGAGGACTGCAATCATGGTTACTCTGATATTTATTTATAGCAATTTCATAATAATTCACTAAAGTCTGGACTCGGGGTAATGTTATTGGAGAGAGTGGGGAAATGATCAGAACTTAATTTCCAACTAAGTAGAGATTTAAGGATAAGAGCAATCAAAGAACCTAGCAGATTATGGTCTGATGGGGAGAGTAAGTACAGGGAATGACTGACACAGGTTGAGGAAGATCGTTCCTGTTGGCTTGGAGTGGCATCCATCGCCAAGTGACTTCCATGGTCTACTGTTATGTGCAGACGTAGGGTTTCTTTTCCTTTACTGACAATAGACGTCTTTCATACAATTCATTCTGATTACGGTTTTCCCTCCTCAACTCCAAGATCCTCCCCAGTTCACTACTGACCCAAATTCATACCACTTCTCTTTTATTAGAATATTAACAAGCATCTAAAAAACTAATATGATAAAATAAAAACAAATCAGATTAAAACAAAATAATCAAGGCAAAAGGGAGTCAAAAAAAAAACACATAAGACACATAGAGATGATGGGACACACAGAGTCACACACAGAGAAAACCTAGAAAAACAAAATCAGAAACCATAATGTATAAGCAAAAGAGCCATACGGTTAAAAAGAAATGTGCAGACAAAGCCATGTGAGACAAAATACTTCCAAAAATACCACTGAGTTTGTTTTCTGTTGGCCACATACTGCTGGGCGTGGACCTGCCCTTGACAAGGCTCATAGACCCGTGAGACTCCCTTGGAATGTTTCAATGCCAAGACAAGAACAAAGAAATCGGCCATCTGAGCGATTTTCATACATGACCTCTTATACTCTCATTTAGACTGGCATTGCTCGGTGACTAACTGCAGACCCTAAAGAGAAACTCATAAGTCCTCTTATACTTTACAGAAAGAAATTCTGGATCAGCAACAGCGAGAGCGAACTGATACAAGCTTTCATGGTGTGTGCATGTTTTGCAGTGAGGAATTTCGTGGAAACAGGTTTGCCATCCTGTATAACATCATATCCTCAGCGCTGTGGGCCAATATATCAACTCTGTATTAAAGGGTTTTCTGCTTGGGTTGGAGCAAACCTCAATGTTACATTGGATCATAACTCATCTTAGCCTCCATTTTGTGGTTGTCTTGGGTATTTTACGGGTATTCACATAGCCTTACACTTGAGTATGGTCTTCTACACCCCTGGATGTCACAATTCTCAAAAGCTTCATAAGATATCTTACTCCCAGATTGTCTTAGATGGTTATCTAGTATATTATTTGCTACAAATGATGCTTTCCTTAAGCAGCTATGGTATCTTTAAAAAAAAAAAAAAGTCTTTGATTATTTGGGACAAATGCTCAGGGGATGAGATTTGGTTCAAATAAAAGCTAGCTCTGTGAGGAAAGCTTGGGCAGCACATCCCAGGCAGAGACAATAGGGACAGACTCTAGGGGTGTCCACCCCCTCCAGTGTCTGTGAGGCTACCGGTGTGAAAGCTAGAGACCAACCAGTGAACGAGATGGAGAAGGCCGACTAAGACACCATGAAGCTCACAACTCCTGCCAACACTGAGTCCTTTTTCCCAAACAAATACTCTGAATTACTGTGGCTTCCTAGGTTGATAGAACAAAGTTGTTTTGTCCGAGCTGGTGTCAGGCAGGGGCAGCTGCACTGAGCTCACCCCTTCATGATTCTGTGGTGTGACCCTCTCACACAGCCGTACTTTAAACTTAATCCCATTCGTCACCACAGAGCTATAAAGAAAGATCTGACAACGTCCAATATGAAGCCAGGAGAGATAGTGAAACCCAGGAGAAGGAGGCATTAAAAAAAAAAAAAAAAAAAACCTTTTTACAGCGTATAGGGCAAAAAAAACTGAGAAGAAAAAAATGTTTGAAATAATATTTTAAGCAAAACTTCATTCTCTAACTAGAATGTTTTAATTATATACTCGTAATTATTACATGCCTTTAAGGACCATTGTGGATATGGAAAAATATAATAATTATGAACACCAGAAGTTTCTCCATAGCTTCTAATTTGAAGTAAAACTGTGTGATTAATGGTAAAATTAACATTATAAAGAAGGTAAGAAGTTGAAATACTAGTTAAAATTGTTGTGCATTTAATTTCTTGGAAATTAAGGCTAAATTGATGTGAAACTAATTTAACAATTTTAATGAATCATCTTGGCTGGTCTTTAAAAACTTGAGAATCTGGGAGATAAAACAGAAGGTATCATCTTCCTCCAGACTACAGAGACTCCCCAGCCCTTGCCGGCTAGCTGTGGCTAGAAGCATAAGCACAGTTGGTCCCAGCCCACTCTGACCTTTTTGTCTCAGATTCATAGGTTGAATCACCCAATTTTGAATTATATAGTAAACCATTTAGGTACCAATAGAATTTATAAAAGAATATAAAGATGGGTTCATATAATTAGGAGGATGAAAGTTTATAAAGATATCCTTTGCAATCTGAGGACCCAAGAAAACTAATGGCAAATTTAGTCCCAATCTGAAGACATGGGAGTCCCAAGGACCAGAGGTGATGACGTCTCAGGGTCCTAAGGACAAGAGAAGATAAATAGATATTCACGTCTGTTGCAGGATATTTGATCACACCCAAGATTGTGCTATTTACTGGAAAACCCCATTTCTAGTTGTGGTGTGGTTCAGCCAAGAGTTTTCTGTTTATTCTAAACAGGATTAAATAAAGTCAACCATAGGTCAAGAAGTAGAGTAAACAACCAGTTGAAGGGGAGTGAACAGAGGAAAAGAACATTAGAGAGGAAGTCAGGAAAGAGATGCACAGGAAATAGAAGGGAGGACCACACAGTTTGCCTGGGTGTTGAAACAGCACGGAGAAGGAGAGCTTGCTTTTCCTTTGGAGAAATCAGCTAAGGAGAAAGGCCAGCTGGGTGCTTTCTCTGCCTCTCTAAGCTAGCAGGCTTCCACCGCAGCTGCTGGTTCCCAAGTGTTTATTTAAAACAACATAGCTCACTCTCCAAATCCTTAATGGATTGGCCTATACCTGCTTATTTTGGTGAGGATACTTGCCTTTATTCATCACTCTTATTTATGGACCAGTGTCTTCCAGAAACATATCCTCACAAATATAATCACAAATAATGCCTTACTAGTTACATAGCCTCTCCTTCACCAGGCAAGGTGACTTATAAATTAAGCATCACAGTAACGGAGAGCGAAGCCCCTTCTTGATAGCTCTGCCTATCTGTAGTTCCCCTTTTGGTGACTGGATGTCAAATATAGAATTCCCAGGAAGTCCTGCTCAAGTTGGGCCAATTCTAGGTAACCTAATCAAAACTAGAAGGGCATTAATCTGGTCACCAGAGCAGACCCTGGGGCCATGTAGAGACTGTTCCCTCCATAATAAACTCTCTTCATCTCCTTGACCCCCCTTCCAAGTCTAAAGTAGGTATGAAAACCTTAGGAAGATATCAGGGTGGCAAGGCGGGGAAATCTTTGAGCTTTCTGAGCCTACAGAGTAGAGCTCATACTGGGTGCTAGCCTTCAACCCCTCACCTTCAAATCTAGATACCTGTCTGGCAGGCCCCTAGAAAGATAGAGGAAGACTAGGAGGCTTCAAGAACATATTCAGAGTCAACAGTAAAGGCTAGACCCATGGGGAGTATCCCAGAACCCTTGCAGCTCTTCAGCCAACTGCTAAACCTGTGTCTATTTCAAAGCTTATAAGTAAACATCCTGGGTAGATCTGACTGAGGCTTACTACTCTTAGGAGAAAAAAAGAAAAAAACAACTTAGACTCAAGATGGCATGGTGCTTGGCCCAGTGGAACCCATCTCTATACACAGGTCCTAAGAACAGTGCTACCCCAACTCCCCTTGAGTCAACTCTCTTAGACTCCGGAAGCCACTATTCACAAAGATTGGGATATCTCTTATCACACATTCTTTGAACCAGCCACTGGTTTAGATCCCATCTCCTGGCTTTCAAGCCTTATTTTACAGGCCTTTAATCTGCAGAAGTTGAGAGAAGAGGCTCCCATGAATGCATTCAGTATAATTGGTAACAACCAGAGATCTTGGATACATAGCTGGGGTAGCAGAAAAACTGCCCACTCGTCTATGCTTGGGCCAGCTGTTACTTCTGACTCAAGCTAGGAATAGTTGGTAACTGCATCTCATCCGAAAAGCCCAAGGCATGTCCAACTGTGTTTTGGCATTCTCCTTGAATCCTAAGGTCTCTGTCCTGCTCTACTGTGGACTTGGGGTATAGGAAGTTTCTTGACTCACTGAACCATTCCACCGCCATCCATCCATCCACGTCGGTTGCTATAAGAACTTCCCAGTCTCTTTCTATCTGGAGTCTTCTACAGCATAGGTTCTGCCCTGCAACCTATGGGTAGGATGTCCTGGGAAAACTTTGAAGTAATGTAAAGTCCCCAACAAGTATTTTAGTTGAAGTTATAAGTTATCATTAAGCAGTTAGAGAAGACAGCTTATTAACCACAGATTAATAAATGTGCCCACTGTATCATGAACCTAAAAAGGTAGCATACATTCATGGAGAGAAGGTTGCTTTATTTTTGTGAAAAACAAATTCAAAAACACTTTGAAGGAATGAAAGATATGTAAGATAAACATCTTATGTAGCAGTTATGCACAGTCTAACAGTGACATATACTCCTCCGTCCCCTGAAACTCTCACCTTTGATTATGAGAAAGTCTTATTAGGAGATATTACATATATATGCTTCTTACTATTTAAGTTGTAGAAATTAAGATTTTCATGTAATACATATATTCCATAAAATGCTACTCAACTCTATAAAATAGTTGAATCACATCAACAGGGATATAACGTGGGAGGCATGATACCAAGTGAAGTGTGCCTTGCACAAGAACACAGGCATCTCGTGATCTCACTCATATGTAGAATCTGAAGAAAATTGAGATCGTAGGATTTAAGAATAGAGTGGTGACTACTAGAAAAGGGAGAGTCGATCGGTGCGTGCGCAACATAGTTAAATAGCAATTAGAGGTTTGGTATGCTGGTGTTGCCCAATAGGGTCACATTAGCTAGTGCTAATATACTGTATACCACAACAAGCTAAAGAAAGAAGTATAAGTGATCCATGTTAGAGCAGATATGACCTAAGCACTCTACAGTATCTATATATCAAAATACCGTATGATAATTAATAAATACATACATTATTATATTTTACACATAAATTAAAAGTAAATTAAAATATTGAAATAAAGTTTCCATTTGCTTATAAGCTAGTCTACAAGCTGATAATCGTGCTGTCATGATCCTTGTATATAGCATCTATTAACAATAGGTGCATAATCTCTGTCTGATGCTGTGCTAGGTGAACATCCATGATCTCATGTCACAGAAAAGGCCATCTTGATAGTAACCAACTGCCTCTTTTCCATTGTATTAGTCAAGATTTTTCAGAGAACAGAACCACCATGTGTGATAAGGGAGCACATAAGATTTGTTAGTAGAGTTGCCTTATCTATTTTAGAGGCTGCGCCCTCCCACAGTGGACTATGTAAACGTTAGAGACAGGCATACTACATGCAGATACACAGGGCTCAGAATCAGGGGAGTTCATTTCAAGTCCTATGGCCTGAGAGTCCTGGGACCACTGGTGTAAGCCGGAGTACCAAGGCCAGAGGGCTTGGAGTTCCAGTATCTGAGGGATAGAGAGTAGTGGTATCTTAACCCTAGGAGACAGAGACCAAGCAAGCAGCATCTTCCTGCTTCTACTTTCAGATGACCACCACTCTTCTGTGAAAACACCCTCACCACCACACATGCCAAATGCTTTCCTTGTTCTCTACTATTCCTTATCCCAGTAAAAGTTAATGCCTAAAATCAGCCATCACTTTCCTAGTGAGATGGGAAAGCAGAGGCAGCACCATTTATTTACTAGATTAAAGCGTGGGACCCCTGCCAGGCAGTGGTGGCATGAGGCTTTTGGAGGCAGAGGTAAACAGATTTCTGAGTTCGAGGCCAACCTGGTCTACAGAGTGAGTTCCAGGACAGCCAGAGCTACACAGAGAAACCCTGTCACAAAAAAACAAAAACAAAAGAGAGGAATAAGACCTGATGCTTCAACAGAGTCTAACCCTTCAATGTTAGAAAGCAGACATGTGGGTTTGCATTTTATTTAGCATATCCATTTTAGCGAGGCTCAAGTGTTTATGTCTCTATCTACTATTTGTTTCTCCTCTGATCAGTTGTTGTCATATAAATGCTATTCCTAGCCTGATTTGCTCCTAGATCATTTATAAATAACAGAAATTGTTCATATTCCCTTGCAGATCTGTTCTGCTGAACCACATGGCCAGAGAGCATGCTTTCAACATTGGTTTGCCAGACAACATTGTAAACTGCACTGAATTCTTATGCACATTACAGAAGAAACTAGACAAGTAAGTATTCCCTGGCAAAACACAGCCTAAACCTAATTTAATGTTAGTTACTTCTGAATTTTTAAAAATTGTTTTAATAAATTTATTTAACTTAGAATTAAACGAAAGTTACTCATTTCTTATGCTGTGGGATTCTACATTTTTTTTGGCATTATGTAGATTTTATCTTGATTATATTGCCTTCTAGTGAATTTTGAAATTATTGCATTAAAATGCATACTTTATGCCAAACATTGACCCATGTAAGTTATATTGTAAGAAAATATGCTCATCATCAATATTCTGTTCTTTTCTCATTGCTATGACCCAATACCTAGCAGGTCACAACTTCAGGAAGGCAGGGTTTATTTTAGCATATAGTACCAAGGGATGCCAACCATTGTGGCAGGAAAGGGAGGGCTTTAGGAGCAGAAGGAGACTGGACTGGTCACATTGCTTGCACAGTCTAGAGCAATCCTTGCCACAGTTTGAGTTAAACAGCACGTTGGCCAATTTAGACTGCTACAACGCAAACCATACTATACCATGCTTTCTACAAAGCCAAGTGGGTAAAGGGATAGGGGGATTCACAGAGGGAACATATTACTCTAGTTTGTTTAACCCAAATAAATAAATATAAAATTAAAAATAGGGTTCTTGTGACAGTTGTCCAAAGGATGTGTTTAGCAGTGTGTGTGTGTGTGTTTCCTGTAGTTTACAGTGTTTGTACTGTGAGAAGATCTTCAGAGACAAAAACACACTTAAGGATCACATGAGAAAAAAGCAGCATCGTAGGATCAATCCAAAAAACAGAGAATACGACCGATTCTACGTCATCAATTACTTGGTAAGTCTTGCTGCTTATAGCTTAAAATTCGGCTACAATACCACAGTCAAAATCTACCTACAAGCCAACTTATGTCTGAATAATGAATGGGTTGGCACAAAGTTTAAAAGGTAATGAAAAGCATTATTAAGAAGTAGTTAGCAGTGGTTTACAAAGCAAATATGATTGGTTGTATTTTGGTTTGACAGATGTTTCTCCAGTAAAGTTGACAGATGCATCTCTAGAATGCAGTGTGATAGCAACTGGAAAAAACAAACAGTATTTCATTATCTACAAACCATTCCCCATTTGATGTTATCTGGCAGCAGGAGTTTATGTATTCTGCTTTTAAAAGCCTTTATTGAGCATTGGGTGTGCTAGATGCCACACAAGATAATTTTTTAAAAGCAATTTCTTTACTCTTCTCCCATCTCTCCACTAAACGGTCCTCCCCTTATCCTCGAAATAAAATGTGCATCTGTATCATTGTCTGCCAGCTTCTTTTTAAGAGAAGTTTCAGAGAAACTGTTCCATTTTATTAAGCAAGTATTTTTGTTTAGTGCCCCATGCCACGGATTTTAAATATTTAAGGTACAAAGTCATTGTCCTGTCTGCTGCCTACTGTAGAGTCATCCTTTTGGGACAAGCAGTGGTATTCAGTTACTGGAGTTATTTAAAATTCTGGGAGGGAATTTTGGACTGACATAATGACTGGAAAATGCTCCCAGGCCTACCTTCAGTCCCCCAGCTTTTTCATTGTATGTAATAAGGTGTCCTACCCATACATAGAAAAGGCTTACGCGTTCTACAGAACGATGCAGGATGACAGTTCTGATGCTGAAATTTCCTGAAGCAAGAGTTGTTTTTCCCCCTCTCAATAGAAGTACATTAAAATTTGAGCCTGTTGATTTGGAAAGACTGAGGGAATATTATCAGCCACTTCCTGTGCTGGGTAGAAAGAGTACACAGGATCTGTGTTGGAAGTCTCTGCTCTCGTGTGCACTTTTTTCTTTCTTTCTTTTTTTTTTAACTTTTCGAGACAGGGTTTCTCTGTGTAGCCCTGGCTGTCCTGGAACTCACTCTGTAGACCAGGCTAGCCTCGAACTCAGAAATCCGCCTGCCTCTGCCTCCCAAGTGCTGGGATTAAAGGCGTGCGCCACCACCGCCCAGCTCATGTGCACTTTTTATGTGTTTTAACTTAGTGTTAAACTGAAATTCTCTTCAAGAAGTAAGTTTAGCATTTGCTTAAAGATTGGCTCTGACCAATCTTTAATCTTGCCAACGTTTACTACAAATTTTTTACAACCATCTCAAGGCAAAGACACCCTCTGAGTCCTTCTATCTTCTCTTTAAATCATTCAGTCATCACTTCCTAGAGCCAATGCTGCTTCAGAGCACAGCCCACTCCAACAGGGAGTGGACGCCAGCACTGGCTGCAGTATGCAGCCGCTGTAGCAAGCTGTGAAAGCAATTTACTAGTTCTCCTTCCGGGGCCCAGTTAAACTAATATGCAAGAGCCGCGAACGAGCAGAACACTGTATAGCTGGAGAGACTTTACCTTGGAGGGAGACTTCAAAGGATCCACACACTCATGGTCTGCTAGCATATTAGAAAAATGTGATACTTCAATCCCTGAGCATCAAGTAGTGTGCCTGGCTGTCAAGCTGAAATTATTTATGAGTCCCAGCTGTCCCTAGGGGGAACACAATAGGTTGTACTAACCACAGATTTGCTGTAGCACTTCATGGCTCAAGAGAATATAATGGTCTTAGTAAATATGAAGTGAAAATGAAATCACAACTAGAGGATACTATTGACATAAATCCCATTTTTAAAATAACAACAACTGAGATCTTTCTGTGGCCCAGGCACTGTCACAGGTATTTATATACTGAATCATTTATCCACATTCCCAGGACACGAGCATTAGTATGAAAGCCGTCGAGACTGGGGCTTAGTGAGTTTAGTAATTTCCACAAGTCCACATAGCCAGGGTAAGCTAGTTATCCACTGCATCCGTTTTCTCCATTCGCACAGTTGAGATAATGTTGGCACCTCCATTGTATTCTTTAGCTGAGTTTTTTAAAACTCTTAATTTTATGATGACCTGTTCTCTTGTAACAAACCAGAAAGTACAACTGGCTTTAATCTGCGAGAATGTAATGAAGGACCATAGCACTTTTAGCCCAAGTATTAAAATAAATAGTTAATAAATATGAACATGATTAGAAAGCCGGACAGTGGTGGCACACGCCTTTAATCCCAGCACTTGGGAGGCAGAGGCAGGCAGATTTCTGAGTTCGAGGCCAGTGTTGTCTACAGAGTGAGTTCCAGGACAGCCAGGGCTACACAGAGAAACCCTGTCTCGAAAAAAAAAAAAAAAAAGAAAGAAAGAAACAAAAAGAAAATGATTAGAAAAAAACAAAATGTATTCTGATATATTAGCATTTTTTAAAATGATGCAAACACTTTTGAAAAGGACAGAAAAAAGCAATAAAGTGCCTGATATATATGACGGCCCTGAAGTAAAGAACTGTGCACAGACACCTCAGAAGTAACAGCATCCCACGGTGCTTAAAGAGTCTGGTAATTAGTAAAAAGCATAATGCTTCGGATATGCATATAAGAGACTGTTCCCAGTAGTACATCATTGAAGAAAAATTTAGAACCAGCAGCTTCTCAGCATCATCACAGTCTTATTTTAGACATGTTAATGAACAGTATTTAATGTGAAGAACAAGTCATTAACATGAAGAATAAATTCTCTAAAATTTTACCTAAGTAATAACTAATGATAAAAACTTACTTTTTAAAATAAAAGCAAAAGAATGAGGGACATCCATGACTCATTCCCCACAGGGATGTGGGCAAATGGCAGAGCCGTAGTAGTCGTCTGTGCTATGGTCCCTTCTGTCCATTTCAAGCAGTCCACATACTTTGCAGCGCCCTCCAGACAGCAGACTAGAACAGAAGGCAAGCAGGGTGGCTTGTCAGGTCTCTACTCAGAGTTTAAAGGCTAGAGTAGGAGGCTGCTGATAGCACAGTCAATGAAAATCTTGTCCAAAACCAGCATCCCACTTCCTCTGTGGACTTTATCAGTAGTAACTCGGCCATCCACCATGGGTCTTCCAGCTCCATTTCAAACTCTTCTAGCATCTCCAGAGCCTCCTGGGTACTCTGGCAAGATGCACTCGAGCAGTCACCAAAGATGGAAGAGCAAAGGGCAAAGGGGCTGTTACCAGCTTCCCTCCACACTGAGCAAATTGGCGAATGCTTTGCTTCTTAGGTGAGATAATTTCCATGTCTAATAACTTATATTAGTTTTTTGAATGTAACAGACTTACAAACACATTGAACTCCTTTGCACAGTCTGGATCATCTCCCAAGAATCTTGTTTTATCCTCACCAACAAGAAACAGGAGTTCAATGTCTAGTAATAACTGTTAAGAGACAAGCTCTCTCTTAGTTTCACAGCCAGATAGTCTAGCCTCAGATAAAACCAACTGCTTAACATCACTGGGCTTCAGCTGTGTGTTCCTAAGGCACTCATTCAAGCCCAGAGTTTTCTGAAGAAAACTGTTTCTGCTGTGGTTTTATCATCTGGTCTGTTTTGTTTTATTTCATTTTTTTCTTTTATTTTCTTTTATATTACTTTGTGTTAAAATATACAAAGCCATGTAGATGTAGGCTCCTAGCCTAAAGAGTTGTTATAATCCTATAAATCCTTCACGTTAAACAAAGTGTCTCTTCGTCTGTCTCGTGTGTGTGTGTGTGTGTGTGTATGTGTGTTAAGCGTGTGTGCATGTGTGTGTGTGCACATGTGTGTGAGTGTGTGTGTGAGTGTGTGTGTGAGTGTGTGTATGTGTTAGTGTGTGTGCATGCGTGTATGTCCGTGTGTGTGTGTGTGTGTGTGTGTGTGTGTGTGTATTTGTGTGTGTGTGTGTGTGTAGGGGTCCTGCTTTCAGATCTTTCCCTTTTTTCTCTCCATCCTCTCATTGCTGACAGGCCCATCTGATACAGAGGCTTGAGATGTTTTGAACATCTTCACAGACATACTTTCCAAACTTTTTCTTGTGTTCTTAGCTTTCCTGACATGATTCATTAGCACAGTGTCTCAGTTGGGAGTCATGTCCCTTGTTTCTTTGTTTGTTTGCCATGTTCCCCCCTTTAGCTCTTGTCCCCAAGCAGAGTACTTTAGGAAAGTCTAGGTCACTGTCAAGTGCATATCGCTAATTTCCTAATATACTAATACAAATAGATTTTCCTCTTCTCTCAGTAAGTAAATTTTAAAGGTTGTATTATGATAATAAATCTACATAGGTTATAGTGAACACTCAGAAGGTTGCAAAATTACACTTGAGTTACAAAGTTTGACAGTGGAAAGAAAACCGTTTTCCCTTAGACTCGGAACATTTGTTGATAGCATCATTTACTCATTACACTTGGAATGGTTAACATCACAGATGGTCTCTCCTTGAATGTCTTGCAGCAGTAAAAATATGACCATAAATCCTAGTCCAGCGAGACCAAGTACGGCACGAAAATTTTAATGGATTACCAAATGTTATTACAGAGATCCTGTTTACAGTGCTGAGCCAATTTTGGATGTCCTATAATGAGGTTCAGCACGTTATGATGATTCTAGAATGTAAGTTATAGAGTTCAAATTAACTGTCTCTAACGACAGTATGGTGGATCTCGGCATGTTTGGGCTCGTGCTTCATTTGGTTGATAAATAATGACAGTTTCAAAGCTTCTCATTAAGCTGATGAGCGATAGATCGTCCTGCTCTCTTTAAAGCATAATGGTGCACATAGTTCTTTGTCTTAGCTAAATGAATGCCTTTATTTTAGGGAGAGGCACATCCATAACTGAGAAAATCTCGGTTGCAGGCTTCCAGAGGAAAGACACTGAGTGAGAAAGAAAGCGGTGCTTAGAGCCGTCCAGGCTGAGCTTGACCCAGCCTGAGTCAGCTCCTCGGAAAGATGTTCAGTGGTAGGCCTCCATGACTTTGGTGTCTGTCTGCTTTGGCAGGTTTGAGTGAGAAAAGACAGGTCATAAAGAGGAAAAAATGTTCAAAGGAGAAAATAAAAATGACTGGACCAGAATAAACCACCCTAACCATCCTTCTGTGGTGTTTTGCTGACACTGACTTACCAAACAAAAGTCCCTTAAAGTGGAACTTATGAACTGACTGTTAAAGATAAAAGGTTTGAATAGATACTGAATACCTATTCATACCCAGCAAGTGCTTTATAGATGTCTAATTACCTCATAAATTCTTTTTTCGGAAATAAGATCTAAATTGACCTCAATTTTTATATTTTTAAAGTTACGTTTAAAAAAAAGCAAAACCTTGGTAGTATCTGCTATGGGCAGAATCAGCAAATATAACCAGGAACAAAGGCCAAGTCTCCCTGGACCTTCAATGGGAGGAGATGAAGAGCAAACAAAGGAACAAGCACATACACACCTGCAACTCCTGCAGGAACCTAAGAGGCTTGGAGCAGGAGGGGTGTTACTGTTTCTCAGGTTTCATTGTTTGAGCCTGTCCATTTATATATGGAACTTTAGTCATTGTCACACATACTCCATTCCTGTCCTTCTCTCTCTGGAACTTCTCTTCTTGTCAGGTTTCCCTACCCCATATTTTTGCCTTCTCTTTGTGCATGGCCAGTGACCCCAGAGTTTCTTGACTGAGCAAAGGTAAGAGATCATTTATTGGAGCAAGAGGAACTTACTAGTGGCTCCAATTACAGCCCCTCCTCCAACAACACTTAATTGCCCCAGTAGGGGTGGGGCCTCATATTGTAGATATCATAGCAGACAACCACAGCTACAGTGAGGTCACAGATACAATGACTGTGCCGTGCCCAGGGACATCTTTTTTATTAGAAGGCCTGTCAGAGGAGGACTGAGTTGTGTTCAAGCAGAGACCAGAATGACCACGCAGAGATGTGGAGGATGAGCGTATCAGACAGAGTATTCAAAAGGGAATCGGGTCTGCTGTGTTGAGGATACACAGGAAGACCAGCCTGGCTGGGACATCCTGAGGAATAAAGGGGCAGCAGGAAATAAGGATACAGAAGGAGCCCAGGAGGGCATGGAGATACGTAAACCGTGGTAGGAAATCCGCACTGTTTCCCAACTGTGAGAACTGTCCTTCAGAAAGATCGCTGTGGCTGCTGTCTGGGGAATAGGTGAGCAGAGAACAAGCGTGAAAGCAGTCTGTGTGAGCATGTCAACCTGCAGGCTGCATACCGAAGCATGCGGCTAAGAAGAAGTTAATTATTAAAATCATAAACTTCCTTAAAATGTTATGAGGGGTGTGTGTGCGCGCATGCGCGCTTGTGTTTTTATTGTGGCTGTTGTAGTTCTGGTTTGGGGTCTTTTTTTTCATGTGTGTATGTGTGTATGGTGTGCATGAGGGCTTGTGTGTATGCACATACATGCAGAGACATGAAGTTAATGATGAATGCACTCCTCCATCGTTTTCCCCCTTTATTTATTGAAATTGTTTCTCCCTGAACCCAGGACTCACCAATAACAGCTAGTCTTGCTAGCCAGCTGGCCCCAGGAATCCCCTCTGTGGGCCTCCCAAGTGCTGGGATTACAGGTGACTACCATGCCTCCTGGCATTCATGTAGGTTGTGGGGATCCACAGTCTGGTTTTCACACTTATGCAGCAAGTACTTTATCCACTGAGGCACTTCCCCCTCATAGTGGCGGCAGTGGTGGTGGTTGTTAAAGTTTGGAGGAAGGGGAATTGTAACTTGATTATGAGGTTCCCAGATGTGAACTCTGCAGATGATAGCACCATTTTGCAATGTCAAAAGATTGTACATGCTGTACTGCTAGGCAGTATTTCAGAGTCCTTTCCAGGAACCCTTGGTCATTTTCTTTAAAAGGGGAAAAAAAAAAAGATCCTTAAGTGACACTAATATATATCCAGGGTTGAAAAACAGTGATTTAAAATTAAGAAAGTGGGGTGGGGGATGGGAAGAAAACCGTGATTAAAAGGCCTCTGCTGTTTCTTCAGAAACAAATATTTTTACTTTCATAGCTTTTAGTATTTTAGGATTTATTCACCTGTATCTCAGCCATGAACTTTTATGTGTATCTTACTCGTACTACTTTGAAGCCATCGGAGCGCGTTTGTTTTAGTGCTGGTGGCATTTATGTTCAGTGTCTGTTTTCTCACTCTTTGCACCTCTTCTCCTTACTCTGTCTGAACTCTGCCTTCTTCCTTCAAAGGAACTCGGGAAGTCATGGGAGGAGGTGCAGTCGGAAGACGACCGGGAGCTGCTGGACCTTCAGGAAGAGTAAGGCACAGCACTGCTGCTGGTTAAGTACAGTGTGGAAGAGCAGGCAGATGATTCTTTAATTTGGGCTGTAATTACTTTTCCAAAGAGGGAGAATAAAAAGAAAGTCTCTGAGCCATGCACTCTTTCATGAAAACGACAAGGTTTTTAAATTGAAATAATTTTCCCATAAAAATCACTAAAGATACATGTGGGTGAGATTAGTTGGGGTTTGGGTTTTTGTTTTTTTTTTAACAGATCTTGCCTCGAGTTTATTTGTAAAAACAGCATAGGACACTGGTCATCTGCAAATAGTGTATGGGTAGGTGTGTCACGGCAGTCCATCTGTCTTCACGTTGGCAGGAGCCTTTTCTATGGGGCCTTCACAGGGGCCTGGGCACCTTTGGGAGCCTGGGCTGGAGCTGAAGCCTGGGCCTTAGCTGGAGCTGCGGCCTCTGCCTTGGTTTGAAGCTTGGGCTTTGGTTGGCCGAGCCTATGACCCTTGACCATGTAGCTTCGAATCCGCTTCCCAAGCTTGGGGTGAGCGATGAAAGTCAGGCGGCTGAGTTTGCGCTGGGGCCCTTTGGCATCTTGGGCTTGATGGCCTGAGGCTTCACAAGGACCTTGATGGCCTCTGCGCGTGCACTCACTGCCTTTGCATTGTTGGCCTGCATCTTCTTCAGGCCTTTCTTGTTGTGCTTCTTGGCAAAGCACATGTTCCTCAGGAACTTGGGGTCAACCCCCTTAAGAGACTCGTATCTTTGTGATCGGGGTTTCTTGATGCCATTTCTGTGCCAATTCTGGGACTGGCTGTGTGTGGTGTGGTTCTTGGACTTGGCCATGTCTGCACAGTAACCCACGGCTTCCGAAGCGCCTGGGACTGGAAGAGAAAGGCCCGCAGTGCAGCATGGGAAATAGGGCCGACGCTGCCAGAAGGTCCAATGGAACCTTGGGTTTGTTTTTTGTTTTGTATTTTTTTTTTTACTTTCTACTTTTTCATACAGGGAGCAGGACATACAAATACAGAAATTATGTTAAGAACACAGATATGAATTGTCAGCATCTTAGACAAAAACCTTCTGAAGATACAACGGTGAAGACAGAAATCCGACTAAGGCTTTCTGATTTCTTCATATTCATTTCTACCATACATAAAAATATCATCAAAGGGAATTTAGATAAAGAAAATAAACTCATACTTGAGTGACCGTATGTACTAATACATGTTAGACAGTCTGTTACGTGATTCTTCCATTCATCCCTTTGAAGCGGTACTGGTTGAGTCCCGTAGTGACACTGTGGTACAGACAGGTTAGACAGCTTGTCTCAGGTCACAGTTAGACAGGAATGTCACTGAAAGAGACATTGCACACCATACATTCTGTAATGGGCATTTCCAGTTGTCACTGTCTATGCCCATTCTCCGATTCTTCCTTAGTAATAAAAGGCTGATAACTCTCAGGATGCTTTCTAGCATGTAAGTAAGACTTCCCCAGCCTTCCTTGCAGCTATGTGTAGCCATATAACTGCACTTTGACTGCAGAGATTTCAGCAAGTGAGAGTGCATTGCAAGGTATAGAAACAGTATTTCAGCACTATGGTATGTGTAGCTCTGCTCCTTATGGGGCCTTCCTATCACTACAGTCTAAGTACCCGACAAGAGGAAACATAAGAAGAGAAGGGTTTATTTGGGCTAATGGTTTCATGGTGGGGCAGCCATGGAGGCTGGGTTCCATCACTGTTGATGGGGTTTACAGCATTGCTTTCCCATCTTCAGATAAGAAAGCAGTGGCCTCGGACCAGAACCTGAGCAGTTACAACCTCCACCTGCCTCCATGCCCCTCAGTTGGCCAGCTAGATCCCACAGTCCCCAGAACAGCTCCACAGTTAGGGTTGTAAGCTGCCTCATGAGTGCTGGGAACCAAACTTAAGTCTTCTATAAAAATAGTACCTGCTCTTAACCTCTTAACCTGCACGCTTTTTGAGATATCATTCTACCACGAGATATAACATTTGCCCCATTTAAAATAATCAGTGTTTCCCTCTTGAATATATGTGTAGGCTTTGTAAAAAAAAAAAAAAATGTACAATCCACTCACTATACTGAAGCACAGTCAAAGCACCTCAGCTCACATCCTGTGTCTTTAGTGCTTGCTAGTAAGAGTAAGAAGGGAATATCCCATCTCTTGGTAGGTGTCGTTTTGGAATTAAATTTCTCTGTCTCTGGAAAGTATCACACCACTTCCATTCTTAAGTCACTGTTCAAAAGAGTGGCAAACAGGGAAACTGGGGCAACACCCATTAGCTGTTTGTCATCTCATGCTTGGAATTCCAGACACTGTATCCGAAACTCATAATGGGATGTCTTTCCCAAAATGTCAGACTCAGGGGTCGGTGGCATTTACTAGGAAAGAAACACTAATACAACTCACCATGAAGTGCACTTCCAGTGAAAAGATGACCATGCTTCCTGTCTTCTTTTTAACCTAGTGACTGGTCCGATTGGCAGGAGTACCCGGTCTCTGCTGTCTGTCTGTTCTGTGAAAAGCAAGAGGAGACAATAGATAAACTGTACGTGCACATGAAGGTGAGGTGCTTTCATCTTTCTTTAATTTTGTTTCATTCTAAGGTGTGGAGCTGGTAATCACTGGATCCTCTACTGGGATGGTTTATGGTACTTGAATCTTCTAGGAAAGGAGCCTCTGGGCATGCTTGAGGGCTTTTCTTGACTGGGTTCATTTAGATACGGTAAAAGTGGACTGCACTCCATGGACCAGTCCAGAACTGAGTTAGGAGAAAGAAACTGAGCAGCAGTGCTTGTTACTCTCTGCTTTGTTCTTTCTCCATGAAGATTTGTTGTTGTGTTATTGTGGTGGTGGTGTTTGTCAAGGTACATTAATCTCATAGAAACAGTCAGGAAGCACACATCCTCCAGTCATTATTCCATTCCTGAAAGTGCACTGGACAAACAGAAGAGACCGGCCAGGTCCTTCCTGGAGAACAGAGGATGGTGCAGTATAGAGGATGACTCACTGATCCGAGTGGACTGCAGCTTAGACGCCACAGCTCCCGCCCTCGGGGTGCTTCCCTCAGCCTTGTAGCTCAGGAGTTGAGCTACAATGCAGCCACAGTGACAATACCCATATGTAGTGGGTTCTGGGTCTTCTTCCTGGCCATTGCTGTACTGTTGTCTAAGATAGAAAGAACAGAGATCTTGCTAGTCACAAAGGTCAAGATCGCAACTGGACATAATGTGGCCTTAGAGCCGCTTCATGGAAGATATATCAGAAAGAAGAAAAGAAGCATATAGGAGCATTCCTGATCTACTTTGCCCACTGGGTATCATGTTTATATCAAAATGACGCTAAAAGCTAGTAATTCTGAACCTTTATTTGCTTCAGTATACCCAAAAGATACTCCTTCTGTGTTACTCTGACCCTGCCTGGATGCTGGGGTAAAGAAAAGAATATCTAATGATACATTATCACAACAACTTGGGAATGATAATAATAATAATAATTAATAATAATAAATAGACTCCTTCTGATGAGCTCTGACATTCTCTGCCTGTCTTCTGAACTATGTCTGTCTATAGTTGGCATCTGTTTTTCTCTCACCTTCAGGCCTCCTGATTCAGAAATACTATTCTTAGTTCAGCAAAATAAGGACCTGGGCAGAGCTAGAAAGACTATGGGCATATATTCTTATGAATCTGTTTGTCTATAATAGGTTACCAGTAGGATGCTATATAGCCATTTATAGATACATCACCATGTAGGGGTAACATTTTTGGTATCCCCACAAGGACCATTCATCCTGCTCAGTCACTCTCGTTGGTAGCATATCATGAACTCCTGAGCATTCTGCATCTGCTGGTCCTGCACCAAATGCTGCCACAGGGAACAAGATGTTTCTTCTGTGAGGTGATAGGCTTGACAGACAACTGGAGAAAGGTGACAATCAGAATACCATAACTCTCTGTACTGTGGCAGTCCAAAGAAAGCATGGTTAATGTGAAAGTGGAACTGAAGAAACGCACAAACACGCGCGCGGGCACACACCTGACTCTGTGAAACATCACTTATGGTTCTTTAAAACGTAGTTCTGTAGTTGTGGTCCAGATGCCTTGCATGCAAGAATCACAACTTATGACACACTTTTAACAGGCTAGATATTTCAGACATGTAAATTGTCAAAACTGCAATAGGCTGTAACTAATTAAAATGTTTCAACTAATTGATGCTTTAGATTGTGCTTAAAGAACTGCTGACCATGGAGAAAGGTAGTTAGAATTAGAAGCAGATGAACTCAGGCTGTTTCTAATATACTCAAGCCCCTGTGAATCAGATATCTGTTTATAGCTTTACCCTGAAGGATTAAATAATTCATTTGCTTACAAATATACTCCTTCCCTTTTTTAGGACGCACATGAGTTTGATCTCCTCAGAATAAAGTCAGAGCTCGGTAAGTTTGGTTGGGAAGTTATTTTCTATGACGCTGTACTTTTAATGAACCATCCTATAAGTGATGCCTGTGTTAGCCATGACTGAGGGCTGCAGTCACGTGAGCCATCTCTGTACAGATGTTCCTAAATCCACTAAAGCAATGATTCTCGGCCATTCTGAATTCTGATCTTCAAAGATCACATATTTTCACATATTTTCTTCGGCTCTTCTACATATGTGAGCAACTTTAATAAAATGCAATAAGAGGCCAGCAGAAAGAGCACAGGTAGCTTGAGGCTTGGGAGTTTTATTGTAATTCATTTATTTGTTTTGTTTTTGAGACAGAGTTTCATTCACTATGCAGCCCTAGTTGACCTAGAATTTGCTATGTCGATCAGGCAGGCTTCAAACACACAGAGATCTGCCTGCCTTTGCCTTCTGAGTGCTGAGATCAAAGGCGTGCACTACCACACCTGGATAAGAGCTCCGGTTTCTGAACTCAAATAACAGAAGTGTCTGACTCCAGCACATATTATGTATATGACACTATGCCTCAGGGCAGAAAGCTGTGAACTGTGTGTTCAACAGTACATACTGCAGTGCGTGGCAGAATAGCTACTATGTGTTAATACAGATGTGACCAGTTGTATAGCTCTCAGGGCGACTGCCATAGAAGGATTAGCAGTGTTGCGACATAAATTACTAATTTCCTAGTGGTTCTAATATACTGGACTCCTGGATATGTGACTTGGCTTTGCTGCTATTACAGACATGCATATGTATTACACACACAATTTGTTACTAGTCAGGACAATAGGTTGCAGAACCACCAACCTGGTATGAGATTGTGACTTCACCATTTATTTTGTAGCTGTGAGATCTTAAACAGTTTCCTAATGAGTAATGTTTATTCCACCTCTGTGATGATGGTTTGGATGGTGAAATGTATTAAGACATAAAAAGTGGTTAGCATAGTACACAACATGTAAGCCCTATATCAGTGTCCATTATTGTATTTTAATTGTTCCATGTTTTCCGGTTGGTTAATTAGGATAAGTGTTTCCTGTAAGAAATTATAACAAACAATTTCTCCATATTTTCAACATAAAATATTGTAGATATTATAGAATTAATATAAATTCTATAATGTAGAATTATAATATTATAGAATTATAGATCTTATGACATACAAATATTTAAGTTTTTTTATATATCAGTTTAAAATAAATTTAAAATTTTTTAAAGAAAATGAATTCATGACAATGCAGAAATAACGCTGAAGGTTGTGTATAATGATTTGCAGGATTAAATTTCTATCAGCAAGTGAAGCTGGTGAATTTCATCCGAAGGCAGGTTCACCAGTGCAGGTGCTACAGTTGCCATGTAAAGTTTAAATCCAAAACAGACTTAAGGACTCACATGGAAGACGCTAACCACACCTCACTGCTTCCTGACAGAAAGGCGTGGGATCAACTGGAGTAAGTGCTGCTGAACTGACCACGAACCTTGGTTCATGTTGCTCTGTCCTCCAAATTGAGTCGCTTTATCTGACTTCTTTTCTTTTTTTGTTTTTTTTTTTTTTTGAGACAGGGTTTCTCTGTGTAGCCCTGGCTGTCCTGGAACTCACTCTGTACACCAGGCTGGCCTCTAACTCAGAAATCCACCTGCCTCTGCCTCCTAAGTGCTGGGATTAAAGGCGATGTAACTTCTTTAAATGTATATAAATATATGAAACCAAGTACATATATGTATGTATGTGTGTACTTATAAATGTCTGGTGTTTGGGTAGCTGGTAACACATGAAGCCATTATTCTGGAATTTGAGATGACTAGTCGTAGATAGTTCGGTATAGAACTAGATATAGACTTCTAAATTATATTCTATTAGCAAAACATTTCAAGCGCCTTCACACGTTTGATACTCATTTGTCCCATCTTTTTTAATGGCTGCCAGATATGCCATTGACTACTATACTCTAACTTATTGGGATATTTCTTATTTTTTTGCTATTGCAAGTAGTAATAAAATGAATAGCTATATGCCTGCATTTGTGTCCTAATTATATCATTCAGATAAAAATTAGTATGTCAATGATATGTACATCACAGAGCACCTGGTGTACATTTTCCATATTTGGCACTTTAAAAACACTAAGTGTTCATTCTCTGACATGAACTTTTTTAAATAAGTGATATCAAATTTCCCAAGTGTCATTCGCCAGTCTATGATGGGTCTCACATATTTTTGTTGACTTCAGTGGGAGAAGTGGAATGCTAGCTACCCAAAATTTCAGAATCCTCAGAGAATACTAAATTAGGCTTCCACAGAACTCTAACCAAAAAACCTCTAGTTTTCCTTTTTGGAAGACTTCTCATTTATGAGGGCAAAAGTCAGCCCTCTATTGACCTGATACTGGTGTTAGTCCTCATAGAAACTAGAGATGGAGGAACATGGTTGTGGTTTTGTTGGATATTTGAAATTTTTGTTTTTGAAAAAAAAAAAGCTATTTTCAGCTCAGTTAAAATTTTGGAAGGATGCTACTTGGAGTAAATAAAGGGTTTGCTGTTTTTAGCTGATCACAGAGCAGCACAGTACTGGATCAGGCTGCCTGTCCAGCTAATGTTTCCTATCATTAGAGAAAATGAACTGAGCAGCCCACTAGCAAGACTTACGCCAGGCTCATGTCAGACAGGAAGGGTTAGAGGGAAATCAACAGAGGTGGCTCCCTGCACAGCCATTGCAGCTTATCAAAGGGGACATGGCAGAACCAGTGCTGTATGCAGCTGCTGCTTAGATGTTTTTCACGAATTTTACTCATTTGGTTATTCGATGTATCTGTGGTTGCTTTCAGGTATTATTTCCCCACCTATGAGAATGATACTCTCCTGTGTACACTGTCTGACAGTGAAAGTGACCTAACAGCTCAAGAGCAAACTGAAAGCGTTCCCATCATCAGTGAAGATACATCCAGACTGTGTGCTTTAAAACAGAGCAGTGTTCTCAACCAATTGCTACTCCAGGGATGCCTGGAAAACTAGGAGAAGCTGCTGCAGACGCAGTGGACAGGCTGCTGTGGACCAGTGTCGCACCATTTCCTCCTGTAAGACACAGACAAGAGAAGAGGTCAGATTTGACCATTGACACAGCACTATTCATTGCTGAAATCATGGTTGTTCTTAATGAAAATGTTTTCAAGAAATAAAGAAGAAAAATAAAATGTGTTGCTTGTATATTTGAATGGAGAAATTTTATTATATGATTATCTTAAATGATTTTATTTCATAAACTCACGATTATCTACAATGTGGAGAACATAAAAGTCACAAACACTCAAATGGATGAACCTGATCTTAAACCATTGTTTAGTCTTCTTCCCACGGGCCTGTCGGGCATCAAGTCACAGAGTTCAGTATGAGTTCTGTACTAAATTGGGAACCTGTGGATGATTAAAACAAGACCCACTGAATCGAAGAAAGATGGCCAAAGGACTAGATAATGCACAAACTAGGCTATTTAAAAATAATCCAAACCTGATTGTATTGCATCATTATTGTTTTCCTGTTACAAACCCCATAGAAACCGGCATAGTGTAATTAGGCTCACTCTTCCCCAAAATATATGTGTACCTATGTATGTGTTTTCCCTGTTATATATTATAACAGCAATAGTCACAAAGATAAGTACCACTGTCTATGAACATAACTACAGTGGTATCATAACACCTAATAAACGGAACTTTTCAATATCATTTTTACTTTTCCCAGGTAGTCTCAAAAATGTCTTCTTATAGCAAGTACCAGCTGTGATACACTTAATATATGAGGTCTTATAAGATGCCCTCAGGAAAACAAAAATCACTTTTGTGGGTTTCTACCAGAAATGAATAGCTTGGATTAAAAAAAACACCATGCAAACCTAAGTTAAGTGACAGTCTGCAAAATAATTGGCTTTTATGCTTATAAAATGTCAGCGTCATTTTTTTTTAAAAAAAAAAGGTAAAATTGTATTCCACATTAAGGAGGGCTAAAGATAGTGTGATGGATGGGTTGGATGAGGGAACAGGAAGTACCATCTGACTTCCATGAAAGGCAGTAGAATATTGCAGATGTTTGGCAGGGTCTGTAAACAGTATAGTGTTTGCATTAGTTACTCTTCTTGCTGTGACCAAAAGCTGACAAAAAGCAACTTAAGGAAAAAGAGACTTATTTTGGCTCACAGGTTTGGGGAGCAGCCCATGAGGCGAAGGAAGCACAGCACCTACGGGAGGAGGTGGCTGATCATGTTGGAGCTGGTGAGGACTGGTTTTTCCTTTTAATCTGGGACTCTAGCCCATGCAATGGCATCACATACATTTAGCATGGCTTCTCCTACCTCACTAAAATATAGAAACTGCCTCACAGCTATCTCAGAAGTCTGTCTCCTAGGGGCATCTTGATCCTATCAAGTTGACTGTATTAACCGTTACAACATTGCCATTAATTTACAGATTTTGATGATGGTACTGTAATGTCTGAGAACGTTCTTGTGTTAATAAATCTTCCCCCCAAATTTTTAAAGATGAAGAAGCAATTTGCTTGCATCTTACTCTCAGAAAATTTACATAAGTATAGAAAAAGAATGATAAAATACATGTTCATGTGTGTAAGATATTAGTGTGAAGAACATATCGAAATTCTTGGTACCGGATCAACTCCTCTAAGTCTGAAATTAAAAGGTTTTAAAATATCATTTTACATTAGGTTTACTTAATCAGGCCCCAAATGAAGCCAATAAATTACATTTGATTGGTGTGATTTTTCTGGATCCCTGAAGGATCTTATATTTACAGTAATTTCAGCTTCCTCCTTTTGGGGAGGTGGGTTGCAGGAATGTGTGCGTGTAAGTACATGTGTAGACTACACAGCTAAAGCTTTAGGGTATCGTTACTCAGGAGCCATCTACCTAATTTTTTGAGGAAGGAGAGCTCTGTGGGACCAGAGACTCACCAGTTTATCTAAGCTGATGGCTACCTAGCTTCAGGGATCTCCTGTTTGTACCTCTGTATGGATGGGATTACAAACATGCCACCATGTGTTCTTTGGGTCACAGGGGTAAAACTCAGACCCTCATACATGTGTGGCAAGTTCTTTACCAACTGGGCCATCTCCCCAACCCCACATTTTCTCTTTTTTTTGTTTGTTTGTGTGTTTTTTTTATTGGATATTTTATTTATTTATATTTCAGATGTCATTCCCTTTTCCCATTTCCCCTCCCTAGAACCCCCTATCCCATCCTCCCTCCTCCTTTTTGCTTTTATGCCATTTTAATCACATGTAAGTGTTAAGGTCAGTTCTAGATTGAGGGTCTAGCAATACAATAAATGCAAATTGTCAAGGAACAAGCAAGACAATAAACACAAATAGTCAAAGAACAAGCAAGGCAGTAAACCCAATTATGTGAACACTCCCTTGATCACTGTTTCTAAGGACTTATCAGGGTGACCAAAATATCTGAGCCTACTTCCCTGTCCTAGCCCAAAGTCATTTCCATGTCTGAAGCCTACTTCCTTGTTCTAGCCTAATATTTAGATTCATGCCTGAAATTACTTCTTTGTTCTACCCTAAAAAACATTTTCTCTTTTTAAATGCCACTGTTTATTAAACTGGGTTGTTTGTCTCACTTTTGAATTGAGATTCTTTATGCCGGATGATTTGTCATGTTCTATTACTCATTTGTCCTGCTATGGTACTTTGGATTCATTTATTTGAATGCTTGGCCTATTAGGAGGTATGGAGGCCTTGTTGGAGGAAGTGGGCAGTGTGTCACTGTGGAGGAAGACTTTGAGGTCTCATATACTCAAGCTAGGCCTAGTGGAAGCAGTCTTCCTCCTGCTGCCTGCCCCACAAAAAAAATATTCTATGCCATCAACTCTCACTAGCCCAATACATTACACACCTCCCCTTCTGTTTTTCATCTGTTGTTTGTAGCAATCTTAGTAATTTGGGGCTAAATATGTTTTTTCTTTTCAGGTAACAGGTAGCTTTTCTTTATTTTCTTTTTATTGAATATTTTATTTATTTTCATTTCAGATGTTATCCCCATCCCTCCCCCCCTGAACCCCTTATCCCATCCCCCTGCTACTGCTATGAGGATGTGCCCCTACTCATTCCCCCCTTCTCGCACTCAAATTCCCCCACAATGGGGCATCCAGTCTTCACAGAACAAAGGACCTCCTCTCCTACCAATGCCCAACAGACCATCCTCCACTACATATACAGCTGGAGCCATGGGTCCCTCCATGCGTGTCCCCAGGCTGGCAGTTTTAGACCCTGGGAGCTCTGGTTGGTTGGTATTGTTGCTCTTCCCATGGGGGCCACAAGCCCCTTCAGCTCGAGAAGTAGCCTTCTAACTCTGTTCTTTCTTTACAATTGAGACCCATACATACCATGTATGCTCTACAACACTGGCTTCTGAGGTTCTAGGCTTTCCATGTTTAGCGGCAGCCTATGTGATAATACATTGCCTGGATTTATACATCATATCTGCTCTGACCATATCTTTGAATGCCCACACATCAAGCTCTGTAGATAGATACTCATGTAGGCTTTTCACTAGAACCTAGCAAACACAGAAGTGAATTCCCTTATTGTGAAATGCCTAAGTAAAAGTCAAGTTAAATTGTCCTAAAAACAAAGGTTAAAAAGACAAGTGTTCTCTTGTCTCTAGAACACTGTCTCTAGGAAACAGATTTGTTGGGAAAATCAAACTGTGTCTACAGTGTTCTCTAGATTGTTCTTCAGCTTTAGAATAGGAGCAAAAGGATGTAAGTTAAAACCAAGAATAGCAAGCTTCAGAAGGAGAAAGCTTTGGGGGTGAGAAAAGTGTTGCTGTGGAAAACAAGTCAGACATAACAGAAAAAGTGAGACCTAAGGAGAGGCAACCACTGAAAGAGAAAAGCACTTGGGGTTTAACTCATAAGATACTATTCTGAGGGTAGATGGGTTGGTCTATTTTAATGATCAAAGGAGTAACTTAAACCCAATCAAATCTAATAATAGAAGCAAAATTCCAGAAAATCACAGTGACTCTCTGAGAGACCAAAAATGCAAGCAACTACTGGCCAAGGCCTCTCCAAGTTATAAAGACGCCTTGCCAAGTGGCACTGGAGAGCTCATTGTAAAAACGGACAAGCATCTGAATGTGGAAATACACCAATAATCCCAACACTTGGGAGGCTGATGTAGGAGGATTATAAATTCAAGGACAGCCAGGAAACATAGTAAGACTGTCAAAAACCAGAAACAGACAGAAAAGATGATTCCGTACCCACATCCAGCAGATTAAACAAACATACAGAGACAGGCCGGGGGCTGGGAGTAGGGGGTGCAGCAATCAGCAGAAAGAGGGAACAATAAATGAAAAGAAGCTGCTTGGGGCTTTAATGAGTTTGTAGGCATCAGTTCAATTAAAGATAAAGTGCTACTGTGCCCGGAGGAATCATACCTGAGAACGCTTGGAATTAAGATTCAAAATGGAGACAAGGAGAAAAGTAAATAACAAAAGGATCCAGGAAGTGTAGGGTTAGAGTTTTTAAAACCTACTTTAATTATGGCTCTTTAATGGTTCAACCTCCCTTCTAGCCATCCGCATGCACCAGAGGTAGGGGGAAGGAAAGGTTAATAGGAGACAGGGTTTGTGGACCTGTTTGGAAATAATTCTTTGGGGAGATTCCAATCTTTGTTGTCAGCACTCCCGCCCACTAGCAAAAAACAAATGAATCAGTAGTGGCAGTCCAGTGCACTCAGCAAACACCAAACAGAAATCAGCAGCAGCAGCTCCACCCAGAAGAACCTGCAAGGCTCTGCTGATCAGCAGGAGTCCCACCAGAAGTCCTTTGGAGTGTTTCTCTCTATGAAATCACCACAAGTGATGATCAGCAAAGAAAGCAAGACAAACCCATGCAAGAGTGTCATCAGCAAAAACCAGCATCAGTGAAGCCCACCAAATGGCCAGCAAAGGGTTACAAGGTGAACCAATGCAAGAACATTGTCTGTTGGGTTATATTTATACTCTTTCCAAACATGTCCGCTCAAGGGTCCACTCCAGCAAAACATCACATATACTTTCACCAGACAGCTTCCAGAAAACCACTACATGTATGTTCTCAGCAAAACATCTTATTCAGAAGACAGCTTCCAGAAAAATATCCCATGACACAATTGAGTCTCCAATGAAACCAGAAATTTCCATG